CCGACCGTTGGACGGGCTATTCCTGGCGGCCATTAATGGTAAGCTTGTAATCGATTGCTCCCTCATATGATAATTGATGTAATGGTGTGGTTGTGGTCACATCAGGTCACGTGACATCTCTCGCGGTTGACGTCCACAACAGACATACTGTGGCCGCTGTGGGAACCGAAGAGGGATTGCTGTCTAAAGTGGTGTTAGACGAGCGCCAGGAGTCCGACAAACAGATACTCGAGTATAACATGGGGTCCGATAGCGACGACGTGACCGACCGATCCATTCGCCCGAACCCAGCCTTCGATAACAAGCGCCGGGATCTGTACGTACTGTCCGGTCGGCGACTGATTCGCGTGCCGTTTGGCTCGTGTCGACCGCACCAGACGTGCGACTCGTGCCTCACATCCAACGACCCGTTGGCCTGTGGCTGGTGTGGAACATACTGTGCCCATAGAGATGAGTGCGATCCGTTGCTCTTCAACCAGACAGTGTGTCCGCCAGTCATATATGACTTCGAGCCCAAGTCGGGTCCCTTAAGAGGCGGGACTGTTATCACTATAACTGGCAATAATTTAGGGCAATATAGAGATTCGTATGAAAACAGTAATATAACGGTGACTGTGGCCGAAACCAACTGCCCGGTCGTCGAGTGGACAGCCAGTCGCGTCACGTGTCAGACACAGTCTGTCCTCAAAACAGTCTCAGGTATTTTCAACGAAATGTTTGTGTGGGAAATGTGTGATTAGTTTATTATATTCATGGGTTTTGTAGGCAAAGTACGGGTCAAAGTTCACGACCGGTTCACCCTAAAAGGTTACGACATTGAGGGTGAGGTGCAGTCGGAACTGGAGTTTAAGTATTACGGGCGGTGGAGTTTAAGTAAGTGGAGGTGTAATTTTCTCTCTCGACGGCGAAAAACTACAACAAAAACACTAAAACACATAATTTGTTAGTAAAACAAAAATCTTGTTTTTTAGATATGAATTCATTTTGAATTCTAATTGCATTTTATTTAAGATTCTATACAAATGACAACATAAGTGATTGTCTCATAAAGTAGTTTATAAACTAAAAACCGATTCACACGACAAAAACTAGAGTTTAAATTGTTTTTATGATTAATTATAGTTTTCACATGACTTCAAGTCGTATACAAATTTGTTTTCAATTTATTTAATGTTTTTCTCTCTCTTTATCCATTGTTTCGCAGCTTTTCTTATTTTATTTATATTGTATTTAATATTAGTTTTGAATTGTTTTTTAAATTTCTTTATAAATAACTCTTTTTTTAAGTTTACTATCAATTCGCTCGATATTAAAGCAAACTCTCGTTAACTCTAATTATTCGCTCAAATAAAATATGAATCGATTTTTTCAGAGTTAATAATATGTTATTTGTATATTTTTATTCATAATTGTTTAACCCCGGAATGGGAACGGCTGTTCCGCTCAGTCATTGTTTGTCGCACTCGACGGGAAACACGTTTTTACTGTTTAAATGTCCGGTAATTGTATATCTGATTGTCTTCATCGCCACTAAATGGCTCCGAATAGATATTCTCACTCATGGACTCCTCTAGAAAGTACTGTCCCGTAATATCCATGTCCACGGGTTCGCTATACGTGTGTATAATGGATGTCTTGCGAGCCGTACCACCCGTTCCCAGCACTACACTCGACGAGAACCGGGTCTCCACTTCGGTGTCGTTGCTGTAAAACGATTGCGGATTATATAAACTGTTGATAGTTTTGGATGCGGTGTCAGTCCTCCGCCTATTGTTCCCGAAGTTATGTTTGATTTGTATAATCGAGAAGTCGTTTACAGGAATGGATGGCAACTCTCGGCGACTACTGGGACTGGT